GTGTCTTTGCCTGTAATGTCCTCTCCCTTTCTCTACTTATTCTAATATGTTTTCTCTCTCTCTGCAGAGTTGTCCTCTTCTCATTCTTTTCTTGGCAGCCAATTATTCCACAAATATTTATGGAGAACCAACCATGTGGCAGACACTGAGCTAGGTCCTGGGATATTCTAGGAAACAAGACATCCTTGGTGACTGGTATATCCAACAGCATCAATTCATGTTTGTTTATTGAGTGAACAAAAATGAACACCATCCAAATGCTGATGGAATCATCTTGGGGCTCAGTGAGTAGAACAGGGACATAAAGGAACATGTATCCACCAACTCCTGTTCCCCATTGGTCAAGGGTTGCCCCAGGGTGTTGACTCTCTCACACTTCCAAGTAAGTACATGTACCAGAGGGGCCAAAGGTTCTCACAGGTGCTCAACACAACAGGGACATAAAGGAACATGTATCCACCAACTCCTGTTCCCCATTGGTCAAGGGTTGCCCAAGGGTGTTGACTCTCTCACACTTCCAAGTAAGTACATGTACCAGAGGGGCCAAAGGTTCTCACAGGTGCTCAACATCAAGGCATCAGAGAAGCCTTAGGGCAGAAAGCCGGAGGCACTAGTGCAGTTGGGGACAGGTATTGCCAAGCTATGCCTGGGGCAGCTGCCTGCCACAGTAATGGCCAGTAGGAGTAGGTGGTGAAGAGGATGAGAGGGGGATATACAAGGTGTCTGGTACAGGGCCGAAGGCTGAGGAACGTGCCCTCCAGCTGTGCTGAGGTCAAGTGTTGACTGGCCAACAATCAAACAAACATCCACACACTTTCCCTCCACTGTACAGCTGGTGAATGGCACTGAAACAGGAAGGGGTCCTTTATGGGGACCCCATGAGAATAAGAAAGGGAGGGCTTGAGGGTTCAATTGAAAGTCTGAATTTGGAAAGTATACTGAACAGTATCTTTGCAGGGTTGAAGAAATCACCTCTGTAAAACGAGGTCCTTTACTTGCCTCTATTTTCTAACAAATGGGATGAGAAGTGTAGGAAAATCTTACTTCTGGTGAGATGACAACATAGCAGAAACTTATAATTCAGTGTCTACACAGAGCACTTTGCATGCAGAGTCCAGGGCATGACTGTTTATTGTAGATTTCACCTGTGACCAACATAATGACCAGAAATAAGCAGACACAAGCATGGCTTTCCAACATTCATCCAATGCCCATCTCACAAACCCTTCCAAGAAAATGAACAACCCTCTGGAGTCAGATAGCTGTGGCTTGGTCTCTATCAAACACCCACATTTCTCAGAAATTGCCACTATGGCACAGGAAATGCCTCTCCTACTTACACTGACTTCTAGGAATTTCTGACCATATCACAGCCGTACATCCAGGATTCAACATTTATTACTATAGTCTAGGAATATTATTTTATTCATTCATTCATTCAAACACCATTTTCTAGCACCTGCTCTGCACCAGGCAGGTGCTAATCTCGATTAATGTTTTAAGTCTGAATACCTGCCGACTTCATGCAGACCTGCTCGCCACAACATATGCTTCTGGACAAATGCTCAGGCTTTGCCAAATGATATTTAACCTCAGGAAGAAAATCCCCATGCTAGAGTGGGACTGTAATGTCATTTGCAAAAGGAAAAATTTCCTTCCACAAACACTCAAAATGGTTTTCCAAACTTAACCAATGAGGCATACAACGCAGCCTATTGATCAAAGTGTAAGGAAGAGAATGGATCCCTCCAGAATACAGGGCAATATTAACAAAACTGTTGTGATCGAATCAGCCAGCACACACAGGCTGCCCACAGGGCCAGCCTTCATTGTCTGTCACCTCAGGGGTCACTACTGCTTTTAAGGCTGGAAGGGGGCTTTTAAGTGAACTTCCAGACGTGGCTGGTGACTGGCAGCCAGAACAACTGATTAGGCACGGCAGAGGGACACACTGGAAGTTCTTATTGCTTTTGTGATTAAGAGATGGTGGACTCCCCGAGGAAATAAAAGCCTCGTCTTGAGAGGAATACCTGAGCCTACCTGCAGCAGAGGACCAGCAGCCCTGCTCCCCGCTGCTTTGGGCTTTCTCTCTCTCTGGGTCCTGGCTTATGGCAGCCCCCACCCCGTCTCCAGCA